TGAAAGTTAAAGCCTGGATGCTGACAGCTACATGCTGCCAGCTGCTTAACACCAAGTTATCATCTGTTCCCAACTGCTGGGGGTGGGTCTTTAGATGGGCTTGATGTGGTCCAGATGCCATATTGACTCTCCAGAAGACCTTGGGCTCATTATAATCTCACGATAATATGAGAGAGAGAAAGAGAGAGAGAGAGAGAGAGAGAGAGAGAGAGAGAGAGAGAGAGAGAGAGAAAGGGGCCTTGGGTACTTCCTTCCTTCCTTGGTTCAAATGGCTGCAGGGGAAGCTGGGCTGAGAGGTTGGAGGGAGCCAGACAGTGGGAAAGGGAGGAAGCCAGGCAGTCTGGAAGCATAAATTGAGGCCACAGAGAGGAGAGGTGGGGAATAAACTGAGGCAGGGCTCTCTGCCAGAGGCCACAGCCAGGAAGCATTTGTTCCCAGGAAGCCGTGGCCTCACCTTTTCTCAAGGCTTCTAAGTCCTCCTAGGAAAAGCATCTGACCCCAAACTCATCCTGCATGAGAGAGATTCTTTTGGCAACTTTTATTTTTGATATAATTTCAAACTTACAGAGAAGTTGCAAGAATAGTACTGTATCCCTTGTGTGTTCCCTCTCACTCAGAGTTCTTGATTTCCAAGTCTTAGAAAAGTAAACACCTGACACAAGGGCTCTTTGCTCCTAAATACCTCAATGTATATTTCCTATAAACAGGGACATTCTCTGACATTATCAAAATTAGCAAAATAGCAGGAATGCAAGATTTTTGTCTAATCATAGGCCAGATTCAAATTTTTACCGATTGTCCTACTACTTCAGCTTATTTCTATCCTCCTTTTTTTCTGTTACCAGTACTGGGGATGGTACTCAGGGCCTAGCATATGCTGGGCAAGCACTCTACCACTCAGCTACATTGTCAGCCCTGTTGTATTTTCTTTTTAAAACAAGGCCTTACTAAGTTACCCAGGCTGGCTTCAAACTTGTGGTCCTCCTGCCTTGGTCTTGCTAGTACCTGGGATTGCAGGTGTATGCCATTACACTCAGGTTATCCTCATTTTTTATGACTATTTAGTCACACAGCTAATAGGTGAATGCAGTTCCTATGTAAAACATTACAGATAAGCCAAAAGTAGTCCTGTCTGAACACCACCCTCAATCCCAGTCCCTCGAACCTGGCAAGACATTACAACATAACGAGTAGGACCGCAATGCCCCTGCCACTGACCAGCAACTTTGAGCAACTTCCTTAAATGTCCTGTTTCTGTCACCTGTACAATAGGAATGATAACAGCCTCATAGTTATGGGTATTAAGTGAATTCATTCCAACAATACACTTAGAACAATGCCTGGCACATTGTTAAGTAATCAATAAATGTCAGCTGTTCTGATTACCCTGTAAGGAAATACAAGATGCAGATGTTATCAACACTCCTGTCACCCCACCAGCACAGCAGGCCCAGCGACCATCCCAGCCTCTGCACTCTACAGGCTCCAGCACTTAGAGAGGGCTTGAGTCCCAGGAGGACTCTGAGCTGTAAAACAAGGGGCAGAGGAAGGGGCCGCACCCAGTCCTTGGGCCTTCCTGTGACTTGAGCCAGCCCCAGCTGGGGCCACTAACTGAGCCCCAGGGAACTTTTGGCCTGGCTGAGCCTGCTCTTCTGACAGCTCAGTCTTGTGGCCACCCAGGGGGTTTTGGAGCAGGGTTCCTGGGTGACATTCTGAGGAGCTTGGAAAGAAGCTGTGAAGCAGCAGACTATGGGGGAGAGGAAGAAATGGCCCTTGTCCCTGGCAGGCTGGCCCAACAGACAGCTATAGGGGCCCCCCTTCCTGTGAGAGTCTGGGGCCAGGGCTCAGATCTCTGAGCCTCCCATCTCCCCAAACCACAGCCCAGAGGTGTGAAAGAATGAAAAATAACAGTGGGAGGGGTGGCAGAGAAGAGCCAGGTGCACATTTCACACCTTGACCACAGGTGGGGCCCAGAGCAGCTTCATTCTGACTAACTTCCTCCTCAGGCTTCCCCCGTGACTTCTTTGGAGGGGAGAAGCAGGAGGGTGCAGCCAGAACTCAGATCTAGGTCCTTGTTGTCCCCAAGGGCTGGGCCTGGTTCTGACCTGATTTAGGGGCCAGATTTATTTAGCACTGGAAAGGACCAAATCAGAGGGCCAGACTAGGGCTTAGCTCAGCCCCATGACACAGGAGGTTTCCAAGGTATGTCAGCTGTGAAAGATGGCAGACAGGAAAGTTACTAGAGAAGAAGGAGGCAGCTATACAATGGGGCCCCCTCTGCACCAGACACGAGTTGTTTGTGGCCCACAGAGTACCCCTATCAAATGCATACTATCCTTAGATCCATTTTTCAGATGAGGAAACTGAAGCTCAGAGATGAAATGATTTGCCCAGGATCACTCAGTTAGGCAGCCAGAGGATTTGGCTAGTGTTGGAGAACCCTCTCCCCCACCCAATGAAGACCAGAGGCCTCCAGGCCTGCAGCCACTGCCATGCCTGCACATCCAAGGCACTATCCTCTGTCGTGTCCTGCCCTGATATGAAAGGTTCCCGGTGGCTCTAGGTCTGTGGCTACTATCTCACTCACTCAGCATTTTCAGTTGCACTCCTACTAAGCACGTGGCCCTGCACTAGGCGCCTACAGCCTTGGTTATCTCAGTTTATCTTGTAACAACCCTGTTGAAGAAACCAGCTCAAGATGGTTCTGTGATTTGTCCAAAGTCACACAGCTCAAAAGAAGTGGAGGGCTGGGGATGTAGCTCAGCGTCACCGTGCCTGCCCCACAAGAGCGAGGTCCTGAGTTTGATCCCTGGTAACAACAACAAAAAAGAAGGAATCCAGGCCTGGAGTCTAGACAAGTTCAGCATTTTTCCCTTTGCATCATCATCACACAGGTCACCCCAGGAGCAGCGAGAGCCTGGGCTACTCTGTTTGGGAGCTGGTCCTGACACTGGATGGTGGGACTCAGCAAGGAAAAAGCTCTTGGCCTGACCTTCTTCTGTGTATCCTATCCAGCAACCTGGCAAGGTGGGGCTCATCATCCCTGTGTGAAACATGAGACTGGAGTCCAGGAAGGAGACCAAGTGGCCCCCAGACCTTTATATTTCATGTAGACCAGTAATATTCCAACAGCTATTTGGAGGACTCATGCTGGATTGTCAACTTCTGCAAGCACAAGATATGTCTGAAACAACAATTTTTCTATCATTTCTTTCATAAAGCAAAGGTCCTTTTAATACCAAAAAGGGGATGAAGAACATAATTGTAGACTAAGTCCTCTAAAACTATCAAATATAGTTTTTTTGTGTGGCCATTTTTCTCATTTGCAGAACTCCAGTAACCTCAAACCTCTTCACAGACCAGAATGAGGAACCCATGGTCTCAGCTCCTGTCCTTTTTCTACCCGATAGTCAGCCCTTTCTGCATCCTACATCCCAACTGGCCTGGTACAGGAAATTCTCCCAGTCCTCTCCATTTGCACGCTCCTCTGGGCCTTTGGTTTCCTCTGGCCTAAACTCTGCAGGTGACAGCTGTTTCAGAGCAAAGCAGTTACATCTATCCACAGAAGGAGGAAAAGGGCCTTGCTGCTGCAAAAGTCATGTGAAAAGCTTGAACTAAATTCCAGATGTGAGCCTGGAGCTTTTGACAGGGCATCCAGCTGAAAACTGGGCCCCAAGACCATGGGCTAGTATTTGAGGGAGAGAAGGAATGAGGAAACTGCTTGGAGGAGGCAAGTTAGGGTCAGCCTTGGACACTCAGAAGGAAAACAGGCCAACAGAGAGGGGAGATGAGGGGAAGAGGAAGCTGTGGGAAGGCGGAAGAGGAATTGTTCCACACCTCTCACCCAGGAAGTGATTGATTTGATGTACTAACACCACCCCACAGCTTTTCCATAAAATCAGGACTCCTCTCCAACCTCATTCTTTTTCTTCACACCATAGAAGCAAATGCTATTGTGAATTTATGATGTCTCTAGTGTTAGCCTTAATCTTTGAGCACAGAGTTATACCCATATCCAAAACAATGTGGTGTTGCCTTAGGTGGTGGTTCCTAGAATTTACATAAAGGGTGTCAAACTATCCACAATATTTTATAACTTACCACACCCCCCTTGTGGATGCTCCCTGATGGTCTAGTGGTTAGGATTCGGTGCTCTCACCACATCCCCCATGTGGCAGTGGCTTCTCTAGATTCATTCATGTTAAAAATATGTAGTTTTACTTCATTTGATTTTTAGCCAGGTGAATTATCCGTTTATCCATGTAAGAGAAATAGGAGGTAGTGTGATGAGTGGTAAAAGGAGAGTCAGACAGCTGTGGGCTCAGTCCCCATACTCGCATGTCTGATTAAGGCTGCTCCCCATTCTGAATCATTCATGGGGACAGTCCACCACCTCACAAGGGGCTTGTGGACTTGGAATGAGGCAGTGTCAGAAAAGGACCTAAAGTAACGTCTAGCACATAGCAAATTCATTATTAACAGTTTCCTTTCCTTTCTCCTGTTGATTAGCAGAAAGGGACACTGACAAAGAACTAGATTTAGGTTGAAGGATTTCTTCAAAATATTTGAATTTTTCAAGAAGGCTAATCTCTTTTACAGGCAACACATTTTGTGATTCAGTCTGTACAATCATGCAAAGACTAACTCCAGTCCAGGACTGATGAGCACACCAGCTAACTTATCAAGAGTTGACCAGAAGGAGGAGCAATTCTTGTCCCTGGCAGCAGGGCTGCCCTCGTCTCCCCACTGCACAGCTTCCTCCTCAGATCTCTCCCCTCAGAAGGTTCCCCAATCCAACCACCCCATGCCCTTCCCTGGGGCCCAGTCTTTCTGGTCCCAAACTCATGGCAACTCCTCCAGAAAGGCTTTACCCAGCCACCAGAACGGCTGAGGTAGGAACTCTGTGGCCTGGGTCTAGATAGGTCTGTAGATCTTCCAGCCTCTGGAAGAGGCTGTGCAGAGAACTGCATGAAACCTTCACTTCCTCTGTGCAGTGCAGGTTCCCAACCACAAGCACCAAGGCAGAAGGGCAAGAAGCACGCAACCCCAGCAACCAGAGTGCCAGCGCAGCCATGGTCCCTGAGGTAAGTGCTGCTGCCCAGCCCGACCAGAGCCACAGTTCAGAGTGGCTATTTCAGGGCACTAGGGAGAGGACCAGCTTAGTCCAGAGCCCAGGGGGGACCAGAAGGTTGATGGAGGGAGCAGGTGGGGGTGGCAGGGGCTGATAGGAGCTCTAGATGGGGAATTGGGAATTGACCAGCTTGAGCACTAACCACAGGCAAGTCTCCTCTCACTCTGGCTTGGGCGCCTCACTGGCCAAATGCAGGGAGGTTGGGGACGTAGAAGCTCAACCTTGTTGACCTCTAAGTCTCCCCTCAGTTCTGACTTGGAGCTTTGGCTCTTGCATATGGTTTGAATTGGCACCAAGGAGGCTACAGCTCTGGGCTGGTTCAGGGAGGAACTGAGGAGGTAAAGAAGATCCCTGCCAGCTCTGTGTGGCAGCGCACCTGCAGTCCCAGCTAGTCGAGAGACTGACACAGAAGGAGCCAGGAGTTTAAAACCAGCCTAGAAAACAGAAGGAGACCCCATCTCTAGAAGGAGGATGCCTGGACTGCATAGTGAGCTCAAAGGCCAGCCTGAACTACATAGCAAGACCATGTCTCAAAAAAACAAAAAAGAAAGAGGAGGAGAAAGGAGGAAGAGGAGGAGGAAAGGGAGGAGGAAGAGAAGGGGAAGAAAGAGGCCTTCTAGCCTGAGACATTTCTAGGTAAATGGATGCACCATGAGACCATAGTCTTAAGTGAAATAAATCAAATACACATGTGTAAATACCACATTGTTTCTCTGGTGTGAGAAACCGAAAGTGTAAATAAGGACTGAAATATATAATAGATTTTGGGAAATGGGAAGAAAATGTTCAAATGGAAAGGGGAACAAGGGAGGAGGGAGGGGAAAAGGAAGGAAGGGACAAGGAAAAAAAGTGAAACTAGAAGGAAAAAAATGGAAACAAAGCTTTTGTATATAGAGAGGGGAGGGAGTTGAGGGGAGGGGGAGTGGGAAAAAAAGAGGCAGGACGTATCATGTACAGGTGCAGATTCCCTATGATGAGTGTGATCATTATGTATCTCTAAAATGTACCAATAAACATTGTGCTTCAAAAAAATGATCATTAAAAAAGGGAGAAGGAGGGCCGGGGATTTAGCTCAGTGGTTCCGCTGCCTGCCTCGCAAGCGCAAGGACCCAAGTTCGATCCCCGGTACCAAAAAACAAACAAAAAAAAAAAAAAGGAAGAAGGCAATTAACACAGAGATTCTAAATGAAATCAACCTCTACAATAAAAGTATGAACTTATTTATAAAAAGAAAAAGAAAGAAGAGGCCTTCTAGAGGCCCCTTAGTGGGCAGCTGAGTGGACATGCAAGCCTTTGTGTAGGGGATGGGAAGCAGAGGGCAGAAAGCATGCATTTGGAGAAGGGGCACAGTGATTTGTAGAGATGCCCCATGAGGGGGCAGGAAGTTGGAGTCCCCAAACAAGAGCTGAGGAGGGAAGAAAAGAGCCAGTGACTGGGAGATGGGACCAGTGAGGAGATGCCTGACCAGGCAGGTGTTTGGACTAGGTGTGACTGGGGGCCCGAGGTTGGCAAACCACAAAGGAAGAGCAAAGGGAGAGAGAGGAAGCAGCCGGGAGGGCTCTGAGGGCTCTGGGCCCCAGAGGGAAGCTCTTTCCACCCAGGCCCATGAGATGGCCCAGAAGAATGAGGAGAAACAGATTTTGAAAAAGGAAGTCACTAGCCCAGGCACCAGGTGGGGCAGACAAATTTAAGGAAGGGTAGCCCTGGAAGAAAGGTGTTGGCAGTTACAGGATCTGGCCCAGGTCTCTTGACTTGTCTTACAAAGGAACTGCTCAGAGAAACCCTCATCAAAGTCACAAGTCACAAAGGGGTGGGGGTGCTTGTGAGACCTTTACATAGCTCAGGCCTTCCTTACCTCTTCCCTCCCTCCTGCAGGTGAGTGAATGCCAAGTGCTAGATGCCTCAGACTTGGCCAGCTTCCTGGAAAACTCTAGCATTTCCTATGACTATGGAGAAAACAAGAACAACTCCTGCTGTGACTCCCCACCCTGCCCACAGGACTTCAGCCAGAACTTCGACCGGGCCTTCCTTCCAGTCCTCTATAGCTTTCTCTTTGTGCTGGGGCTGCTGGGCAATGGTGTTGTGGCGGCTGTGCTGCTGAGCCAGCGGTCCGCCCTGAGCAGCACTGACACCTTCCTGCTCCATCTGGCCATGGCTGATGCACTACTGGTGCTGACACTCCCACTCTGGGCAGTGGATGCTGCTGTCCAGTGGGTCTTTGGCTCTGGCCTCTGCAAAGTGGCAGGCGCTCTGTTCAACATCAATTTCTATGCAGGGGCCCTGTTGCTGGCCTGCATCAGCTTTGATCGCTACCTGAGCATAGTGCATGCCACCCAGCTCTACCGCCGGGGTCCCCCAACCCGCGTGGCCCTTACTTGTGTAGTTGTCTGGGGGCTCTGCCTGCTCTTTGCCCTCCCAGACTTCATCTTCCTCTCAGCCCACCATGACGACCGCCTCAATGCCACCCTCTGCCAGCACACTTTCCCACAGTTCGGCCGCACAGCTCTGCGTGTGCTGCAGCTGGTGGCTGGTTTCCTACTGCCCTTGCTGGTCATGACCTACTGCTATGCCCGAATCCTGGCTGTGCTGCTGGTCTCCAGAGGCCAGCGGCGCCTGCGAGCCATGCGGCTAGTGGTAGTGGTGGTGGTGGCCTTTGCCCTCTGCTGGACCCCCTATCACCTAGTGATTATGGTGGACACCCTCATGGACCTGGGGGCCTTGGCCCGCAACTGTGGCCGAGAAAGCCATGTGGATGTGGCCAAGTCAGTCACCTCAGGCATGGGTTACATGCACTGCTGCCTCAACCCACTGCTCTACGCCTTTGTGAGGGTCAAGTTCCGAGAACGTCTGTGGGCACTCCTCATGCGTCTGGGCTGCCTTGCCCTCCAGCGGCAGCCATCTTCTTCCCACCGAGATTCTTCCCGGTCTGAGACCACAGAAGCCTCTTACTCAGGCTTGTGAGACTAAGATGGGGGCTCCCCTTTGGCCCATGCAGACTTCACACGCACTTCAGGGTCGCTTCCTTCCTCACTGCTAGGCTGGCGTTGGCTCTCCCCATAATCCTGCCCCTGGAGCTCCCTGGCAGCTCCAGCACTACCAGGTCTCCCAGAGAGCTGCCTTCCCTGTCCTGGGGGCCTAAGCTATTGCTGCTCCCTAGCTGCCAAGACCTCTCTTACTACTTCAGAGGTGGATGCCTGGAGTCCCACTGCCCCTCTAATTCAGCGACTGAACTTGGCCTTTCCCATGTGCAAGGAGCATGAGGCAAACAGCAGAGTGCTGTCCCATAAGGCTGCAGCCCAGGCCACCAGCTCAGCATCAACTGTGGTGATGATTCCCAAGGCCTCTGTATTTGCCTACTTTTATTTTTTATGTCTAAAATCCTGCTTAATACTTTTTAATAAACAAGATAATCAGGACCAGGTTGTGTTAGTAGTTATCATTATGATCAGCAGTTATCATTATGGTCAGCCCTGACTAGACATGGAAATGTACTTCCTGCTTCTTCCTGCCTGGACCTTGGGGCCTTGGCCCTCTTCTGAATCACCTGTCACCTGGTGGTGCTGGTAGACACCTTCATGGATTGGGGCAGCAACAGTGAGCTGTCAGGTACTGGCTGTCTAGATACTTCTGAGCATAATTTGTGGAAGGGATCACTAGAGGTGAATAAGACATGGTCCCTGAATCCAAGGTCAGGCCAGCAGGGAATATGTGACAATGTCACAGGTTACTGTGGATTCTTAGCTGCACATAATATGGAAATCAGATATTAGCTGGTTCCTGAGCCTGTTGACAACCATCACTGTTGTCCACTCTTCTTCAGGGCCCTCTAAAGAGGATGGTCCTCAATACAGTACCAGCTTTCAAGACCTTAACAATCAGCTGAGGGTTCTTGCCCAATTTGGATAGAAATCATGAATTGGTAAGTACAGGTCCCTTGATGTTAGCAGCTCCAGGCTTTGAGTGCCAATGGCTCTTAGCTATTAGCGTTACAGCTCCAAGCTGAATGCTAGCATCTCTTAGCAATTAGCATCACAACTCAATGTTCTAGCTCCTGGTAGCTCCCAACCACCCCACCTAGCAGCCAGAGCTCATAGGCCCTGGCAGTTTTCTGGAACTCTTGCAGCAGCTTCTGGCACCTCTCTGGGGCTCTTCCACAGATCTCTGAGGGTCTTGGCTCTTCACCGCTCCACTATTCTCTGGAGCTCTTTGGCAGCCCTCTGGCTACTAAGCATACTCAGAGCTAATAGCCCTTAGTGTTGCCAGCTATTAGTGCAAACCACTCAACCCACTCTACCTGACCAAAAAAATCACAAGTAGACAGTAAGATCACCTGAGTGAAGCTTTTATTGGGGTCTGTGCTGCAGCACAGGAGAAAGTGCACAGGAGAGAGCCTCTTGGACTGACCCAAGGTAAGTGAGGGAATGACACTTAGGAGTAGTCTAAGCATTTCATTGATCTAATTTGGGAATTTTCAAGTAGTAGGAGAGGGAAGCAAGGTCATCTGGAGGTGGCAGGGCAGTCATCTTGGACAGGTCTGTGTCTGAAACCTATTGCAGTCAAGGCAAATATCTCCCAGATGAGGGATTTGGCTGTTGGGTATCCAGGACAGCCTTTGCTGTCATGGTGACAGCTTGGCGAAACTATAGGAGAAGCTGCTGCTTGACTGACAGCTCCCTGAAGTCATGACCGCAGCTGTTTTCAGTTTCCAGGTGTGGCAGCAGTGCCGAACATGGCCCAACAGGGTTTGGGGATTTGGGGGACAATAGCGGTGCTCAGTCCACCTGCAACTTTCGTCCTGTTAGCCATGGTCCTCTAGCCACTCCTGAGAGGCAGCAGCAGCACCTGAGCAGCCTCACGTGGGGAAGGGGCATCACAATTGTTGGACAAGCCTTGGGCTCTGAAGCAAGCTAAGGCCTAGAGGGTGGTTGAGGCAACCCACAGAGATAGCAGGAAGATGCTGGAGCTAGTTGTCCCTGGCCACCCTCTGAGACACCCTCAGAAATCACACCTCGTCTGGCCATCAACGGGAAAAGGATAGTGTCGGGCCTCATTTTCCTACCTCAGTAAGAACTAGCAGTACCAAGCAATCTATGACATGAGGCAAAGGAATGGAACATAGTAAATCCAGGCCTCAGAGCATGAAGGCTGGAGCCATTTGGGAAGGCTTCCTAGAAAAATAAAGGCCAAGTGGTATATGCAAGAGTAGAGAGAAAAGAGTATTTTCAGGCATCAGGGAGGGCAGTGGCAAAGGTGGCAAGACTGAAGTCAATTTTTTATGTGTGTGTAGTTTTTATGTGTGTGTGATTGAACCCAGAGTCTTCACACTGAGTTACATCCCCAGCTCTTTTGTTATTTTTGACAAGATCTTGCTAAGTTGCCCACGCTGGGCTCATACTTGTACTCCTCTTGCTTCAGCCTCCCAGAGTGCTGGGATTACAGGCATATGCCAACCATTCCTGGCTTCTTATGGAGGAAAACATAAATGGTCCCACATGGCTAGAGTTAAGTGTTCAGGTAGGGGCAGGGTTGAAAATAAGACCAAAAGGTAGTTTGGGGTCACAGACCAGTCAGAAGGCTGTATGCTATTCAGGTAACATGAGAGCTGAGGGAAGTTCTTTCTAGAGAAATGCCAATGGTCTTAAAGAAAAGCAACAAGGCCAGATGACTTGCCAGCAGTCATTAATGCACACATAGTCCACCTGGAGGTGGGCTTTAGAGAGCATTTTTCCATGGCTATCGCTTGGGTTGAAGTGAGTGGAGGAAATAACTGGAGCTTCTTGGAAGAACACATTGATAGGGCCATTGAGTTAAGGCCAAAGGTGAAAGCACAGATCCACTGCACTGTCAGTTCCTCATCTTGAATTCACATGACCCAGTTTGACAGGGTAGCTGAGCCCTTGCTGAGACTACAGGTATGGCCAGAGGCAGAGACGGAGGGAAGAAATCCAAGCAGTTAGCTGAGGAAGCTCTTCCTAACCCTATATACATACATCTACAATCACATCTAGCCTCATAGTTAGGAGTTCTTCTGCAAGATGAAAGAAATTATCAGAATAACAGATCTTGCCTATAAAACGTCAATAATGCTAGACTGGCCGGGGATTTAGCTCAGTGGTTTCACCATCTGCTGCGTAAGCGCAAGGACCTGAGTTTGATCCCCAGTACCAAAATAATAATAATAATAATAATAATGCTAGACTAGTAAAGATATTTGTGGCAGGCCAAAAAATTGGCCTCCCTGTCATCCATACTCCAATACCCAAAGTTTGTAAATAGGTTAACTTACATGGCAGAGGGGAACTGAGTTTGCTAATTAGCTGACTTTAAGAAGATTCTCTATTGAGCTGGGGATGGTAGTAAACACCTGTAATCCTAGCGTTCAGTAGGCTGAGACTGGAGGATTTCCACAAGTTTGAGGCCAGCCTGGGCTATGTAGTGAGTTCAAGGCCAGCCTAGAATACATATTGAGACCCTGTCTCAGAAAACAAAACAGATTCTCCTGGATTATCTATGCAGACTTAATGTAATTATAAGGGTCTTTAAGAGTGAAAGAGGGGGGTAAAGGGGGAAAGAGAGTCAGAAAGAGATGCTGCTGCTGGCTTTGAAGATGGAAGAAGGGGCTGTGAACAAAGGAATGTAGGTGGCTTCCAGAAGCTGGAAAAGACAAGGAAATAGATTCTCCCCTAGAGCTTCCAGAGAGGAATGCAACCTTGTCAACACCTTGATTTTAGTCTAAAGTGACTCGTCTCAGACTTCTGATATCCAGAACTGTACTATAATATATTTGTGTTATTTTAAGCCACTAGGTTTATGGTACTTTGTTGTGGCAGCTAAAGGAAACTAATACAATTGTGATACATACCAGTCCACATCCTGGATATCATGGCTGAAGCCCTCATGAGCAGTCACAGAAATAAGAGAAAAACAATAAATAACTTTACTAATAAGTGAGATACAAAGACCAACATTTTATTTATTTATTTTTCTGAACAAGTACATGGCTCAGTTTCACTCAATGTCATCAGCAACTGAATTCCTGAAACATGTTTGTGTTATATGTAGGCAGGTAGAACAAGTTACATAATGCAACAGCCCTGGCTTTGAAGTGCTGTCTTTAAAACTTACTCTCTTTTCACAAGTTATTTTTGTTTGTTTGTTTGTTTGTTTTGGTACCAGGGGTCGAACTCAGGACCTTGTGCTTGTGAGGCAGGCAGCAGCACCACTGAGCTAAATCCCTGGCCCCATTTCAGCATTATCTTCATTCTCTCAACTTGCCACTCTTGAAAACTCATTTTTTTTTTCCTGTTTTGTTCTATATGTTAAAACTATGCAGTAAAACTAAGACCCAAGGTGGATCAAAAGCCCTTCAGAGTATTCACAAGGGTACAATAAAACCTTTGTTTAAAAATAATTATCATTATAAAATGAATCTAAAAATATATATTTAAACTATAATATTAATAACTTTACAGAAACGTTTCCACAACTTCTTGTCAGTAAAGGACTCAGCTAACAGAAATATATTCTAAAATGACCTTAAGGATTTTTCTTTTGTTTACTGGCAGTATAATCCTTGCTGAGCCTTTTCATCACATCCCCATGGCTGATCCCTGCTGTCTCCTGTAATACCTTTCTATAATTCTCTTGCACATATTTGCCAAATGGTCTCACATAGGGCTGGATGGGGGTTCCATCTTTCCGAGTTAATGGCAGCAAGACCAGAGGCCTCTTGCATACAACACAGATAAAGCGTTCAGTTTTCAACGATCTGGTGTAGCGGCCAATCCTAGTGAGGAAAAGGACACCATACAACAAAGGAATTAGTCATCACATTATAAGCTCTGAGATATTCGGCTTGGGCCCAAAGTGAGAGTTTTTTGTGTTAAGAGTTGGGCTCTGAGCAGCAGGGGTCAGGCTGGCTCAAATTAGTAAAGAGAACATAGAAAGAAATAGGGAGGTCACACCTATGATCCCATCACTTTGGGAGGCTGAGGCAGGAGGATCACAAGTTTGAGCCTAGCTTGGGCAACTTAGCAACTTAGTGAGATTCTGTCTCAAATTAAAAGAAAAGGGGGGGCTGGGTATGTAGCTCATTGTGAAGGCCTTAGGTTCAATCTCCAGTACCCCCCACCCCAAAACAAGACATAGATGTTCACTTCTCAAGTCAGACAGCCATTGACTTACTCTTACAAAGACTGAAGAGCCATACTCTTAAGTGAAATAAATAGGACACACGTGTAAATACTGAATAGTTTCACTAGTGTGAGAAACTGATAGTGTAAACAAGGGTTAAAATGATTAAAATGAA